CATTGCAGGTCGAACGGAAATGAATGCCAAGCAAGTTGAAATCGAATAAAGGGTGCAACAGTAGTGGCGAAAATGAATATGGCTCTCTTGTAAAATAAAGTTAGTGTCGATATTGAGCGCACACAAATGTTTCACAATTTGATATTGATGATATTTTAATTCATAGAAAATGTCGCTGAATTAAAAGCAATTCTTCGAGTTTGTGATTGATATTTTTTGCTATCGAGATGTTTATCGTTTTCATCGTATGGTCATCGTTATCGAAATTGTTATCGTTACATAATTTAAGTTAATATTAATGTCAACTTTTTGTCAAAGTTATCGAAATCGGTTTTTAATATCAAAATAACGCCTAGATGCGCAATAAATGGTCCGAAGAATTTAGCGAGACACATTTTTGCTGTAATTTGGGATTTTAATTTTGGCTAATAGGTAAGGTTAGGTTATTTTGCGGAGCTCCTAATGGATAGCTCGCGTGAGCAAAGAATGATATTTTCCATATATTAATTAACTAACAGTAGCTGGTAAAGAGTAAATTTTCTGACCTTTAAATACCTAAATTTAGAATAGAATTTAGATGAGAAAATATTGTCGATTTTTTACCTTTAGTAAAGGGAATGTTAAGTGGAAGTGTAGTATCTGAAATACGGGCAAAAAAAAAATATGACTTCCTACTCATCTACATATGTTATCCGCATCGCTACATTTATCGTTGAACTTATCGCTATACATTTTTATCGATTTTTATTCAGTGTATTAAGTAATGAATACATGAGTTTATTAATCGACATATTTAGGGCATACGGGCCTCTATCTGTACAAATCAGCATACTCCTTTAACTCTTTCTGGCACTGGTTTAGAATTTGAACCATATAGCGTAAGAATTGATATTTTAGTATAAATGGATAAGGGCTTGATGCCAGGAGCTTCCGGCGAGCAAATATCTTTTTTGTCATAAATATCAATTACGTGGTTTTGCAGAACGACGATACGAGGTTTCGTCCTTTAAGCGACGATATGTTTGAGGTGTTGCGCGAAGGTGGTACATTTTTTAAACCGAAAATAGTTTCCTCTATTCAATGCGTAGAAATGATTTAATATATATATATATATAATTTGTACCACCTGAATTTATTTTTTATGTTATTTATTTTATTTTTATATTTTTTTATATTTTTTTTTTTAATTTTTCCTTTTTTTAAGTTTTAATTCATATTCAATAAATTTTCTATTGCTAAAACCAAAAACCAAAAATAAATTTTCTTTGGCGCTTACGGAACTAAAACGCTCTTGAAATTTTCGTCGCTCAAAGAGTTAAAAAGCTAGCCGCGAATTTAACTTAACTCCATTTTATTAGACATCACTGTGTTTATGTGCACACTTTCATATTCTTGGGTAAGTACGTTGAGTTAAGTAATCACAAAAAACAGTGATTGGAAATTCTAAGCTCATACAAAAACAATGCTACTTACTATACTGGAGTACTTCAAATATAGAAATAGAAATAGAAATAGTAATAGTAATAAAAGAGGTAGTTCGCATAAAAGCAAATACTTGCACGCAATACAACCATCAGCGCAGCAAAGCAATCAGTCAGCAAGTAGCTCGTTACGTACATATATTTTTATCAATGTCTGTATGTTTGTATTTAAATTGAAATTGCACACTTTGATGATTGTGCAAGCTTTGTTGAAATGCAACAGATTTGATATTTCCTGCAATAAAAGGCAGCCAATTAATAATTGTAACAAGGGCTACATATGTACTATGAAAATCGAAGCCAATCATTGTAATGAAAATTTGAAATGAATTTATTTACTGGGGCGCTACCGGGCGTATGCATATGGAGTATTTGTGTGTGTATGAAAATAGTAAATGCATGTGCATATGAGATACTACAAGTATTGCGGTAAAAAAAAAGAAATAGTTAAAAAAAATTATAGAAAAGAAATAGTTAAATTTTTTAACTATAAAAAATTTAAATTTACAAAATTAAACGAGTATTTGTCAAGACAAGTCCGGTTTTGTTAGGTCGAGGAATAGAATAAAAGAGTAACAGATGCCATTAGAATCTACGTTGTTATTGAATATTTCTTGGAAGACGTTGCATGCGGTCTGCTTGCGCGGATGCAAAAGTATAAAAATATATAGAGGGAAGACAAATTTTAGTATTCTTTGAGCTTTTAATTAGATTTCCTAGAAGCATTCTTTGTAGCCAATTTAATTCAGCAAAAGAAAGTGCAAATATTAAGTAGGTAGCGTATACCGTTGATTTTTGGGCAATTTTTTTTTTTGTGGAAGGTGTAGCTCACTTTCCCCATGGAAGAAAATGGGCGAACAAAAAATTACCAAAAATCAACGGTATGTCCTAGCTACTTCATGCTTGCACTTTATTATACTAAAATTTTAAGCACTACAAAAATATGACTAAAATGTTTAAAATTTTGATCAAAATTTGTTAGATTTCGTCGAATTTTTATAAATGTTCTACAAAGTTTGAAATTTTGATTTACATGGTTTTTTT